TGGGTGCTGTGGCGATCCCGCTCCCCCCCCACGCCGCACGCCTCTTGCGCAACGTGTAGCGTGGTTTGATTCCTTTGAGTTTCCAGCCCTCTGCCGTTTTTTTCTGCAATCAGAAGAACTTTTCAAGTTCTTTCTCTTGCCTCAGTTTCCTTTCTGACAGTCCTTCAACCGGCGGCTGTCCCGGCTGCGTGCAAAGGGGCAGTTGCAGCAGCAGCCATCAGTCAACACCAAAGCAATCCTCTTTGGAAGGAGAGCGGATGAGCTTTGCGAGGGACCCTTACACCAAGAGGCAGCAACAGGCTCCTGGTGCGAAAGTAAGACGGAGCGGAGGTTAAAAAGTGAGTGATAGTTCTGGAGAGCCAGCGCGGATGCAGCCGAGCCGCGCGAGCGGAAGATAATTGAAAAGTAAACTTCAGAGTCTTCCAAGCATTTGCTTTAATAACCACCCGCAGGCCCTGGCAGTAGGTGAGAGACCCACGTCCGCAGCGTTCGCCTGGAAAACCCGTGGGCACGGTGCCCGCTGCGGGGATGTGCCCGTGCACTGCCGGCACTGCCCGCTCAGAGGGGAGAGGAGACAGAGACCCTCAGAGGCTTTGCTGCGGCTGGGCGGGAGCTCCGCTTGCCTCTGCTTTCGCTGGATGTGTTGTTCTTCCTTCTCTGCGCTGGTTCCTTCGTCTGGTGGGGAGTTATCCACCGCGTCAGTGAGCGGGGTGCATCGCTTCCAGGGAAGGCGTTTACACCGGCTTCGCTTTCTTCTGAAAGTGCCCGCTGAAAGCAATAGCGAAAAGCCTGTTGGCTTCGCGAGGAGAAAGTCTGCCTATTCCTTGACTAATTGTTTACAACATATAAATATTTAAGGCTGTCAGGATAATTTAAAGAATATTTAAGGATAAATTTTCCACCTATTTAAAAAAAAAAAAGTAACTGCAGCACAAGGTGAGCCTGTGCGTACTCCACTCGTGGCCGGCTAACACCGACCTGGTGACAACATCCGCAGGGAGCGGGGTCCAAAGAGCAGAGTTCACGCAAGTGGTCTGTGCTGTTACCCTCTATTTGCTGTCTCTACAAGATTTGGGATTTTCTTTTTTCTTTTCAGGGCTAGAAAATGCCTCCTTGCTCATGGAAAGTGAGATCTCGAGGAAGTCATCAGTGGGAGTGTGAATGAAGGTTTCACAATCTGGTCCCCAACAAGGAGAGCGAGCCAGCTGCCTTGGGGCTGAGTCCGTGTTTCTCAACAGTGAAAGATAAGGCGAAGTGCTGAATTTCTGACGACATAGAGGCCCTCAAGGAGAGGGACCTTCAGCATGGCCCATAAAAGCCAAACTGGTGGAATTGAGACAAAGGCATCGCTTTCCTCCATCCTCTTTTGTACAGGTGATTTAAAGGAAGGACCTCTGCAGCGGGTAAAAGGTAAGCAAGCAACTTGATGATAAGGAGAAAGGCAGCACTGAGTACAGCACCCTTGAAATAAGAGAAGAAGGATTTTTAAAGATGCTCATTAACAGCAGCTCAGTTGCAAAAGTAACTAAACATTATGGATGTTTCAGCATTTCGGGGAGGGGATGGACATGATTTGACTTTTTTTGGAAAGCCTGATGTATAGGAATGGATGTGAAATAGGTTGATACCTATTGAAAATCAGGACCCTGGAAGTCCTCTGCTCTTCGCCTTCAAAAGTCAAGGAATATTTATTTGGGAACCTTGACCTGTGTTTTGCCAATGACTCCCTCAGTTACAATTCGCTCTGTCTCTGCAGCGCTACTTCAGAAACTGCCTGAGGTGCTGTGCAGAGACCGAAGGCAGTGCCATGGATGGCTGTTCGCACCAAGACCCCCGCACTGTGCAGCAGGGCACCCTTCTTGGCTTGCTCAGTTCATGGCATCTCCTTAGAGCTCAGGTTTTGCAGGGGTGAAGCAGCCCTTGCCGCTCCAGCAGAGCTCAGGGAGCTGAGCCCCTCTGCAAATCTCAGGTATCTCAGCTTGGCACCCAACTCACTAGATTTTGTGCCAAGCAGCTTGACCAAAGCCATGGAGCCCAAGGCTGAGGCCATTCGTTTTTATTCTTGCTTTATACTCACTGCCTCCACTGCTCTGCGTCAGGGGGAGATGAACATCAGCAAAAAAACCAAGACCTTGTTGTCCTGGAGGTCTCCGATGCATCTACTCTTCCCTTGTTGACTCAATGCAGTTGTGCCCTATTGTAATATAACTGCCTGGCATCTCCTGTTCCTGAACAGTGAAGAGATGGTGAGGATGGAGGACGTAAGAGGGAGAGAAGGGGACGGTGGGTGCACGCTGTGTTTCAGCCTGGGCCGGCACTGAGCCGGCGGTGTCAGCGGGAGCAGCCCCAGGGGACACCTGGCTGACCCCAGATCTGCAAAGGGGAAGGAAAGCTGGGCGAAAGCTTTCAGTGAAACAGGATCTTGTCTGAACATGCCACTTCCTTAGACCCGAGCTCTTCCTCTTGATGTAGCACAGCTTGTGTAAACTCTAGGTGAATGCCAGATGGGAAGCCTGGAGATCACAGCTCTCCTGTGCTGCTCCAAGGCTGATCTGCCTCAGCTCCGAGCAGCCGGCTCCTCGAATTTAGGGCAGGCTGTCCTCATGCTTTCTGGGCTCCTGACTGCAACCTGAGTCTCTAGATTACATCTCTGACCCTAGCCCTAGCTCAAACTGGGAAGCTGAGAGCCCTGAGCCGAGCTGGGAGAGTCCCAGTCTTAAGTCCCTGCAAGAGCAGGGACCTGGACGCGGGAGGACCTACGGAGCTCATGCTCCGGGGCAGCACTGCCACGTCCCAGACATGTGATTATTGGAAAGCACCTTGATTTGATTGCTCAAGCTTCTTCTTGTGGTGGGTGGGGTGGGTAGGCGATGGGGATCTCTCTGAGAGGCAGATAGCCTTAGCAGCACCGAGCAGCTCGAGCCCATTGTCCTTTCAGTGCGGGATCAGCGAGGCAAGATGTTATCCTTGAAGATGAGATCTATGAGGATCAGGGCATCATATTATCTCTGACTGCTCACTCCTGGAATGTGTTTGGGGTCTCCTCCCTCTCTGTAGGCTGTTTCCTTACAGGGAACATCAGGCTGCTGTGCTGCTTCCAAAGCTCTTCGTGTTGTGCTTAGAAATGTCCAAGGGGGGACTCTGGATCCATTGAAAAAGCATCAGGGTGATCTGTGTTCCTCAGCCTTCCCTTTGCCACACGCTCCTTAGCTGGTGGGAGAAACACCTATGCCAGAGCCGTGCTCATGGCTCCTTTGGGCTCTTGCAGAACCCCTCAATGGCCAGGTGCTCATGGTGCTCAGCATGGACAACAACTGCTCGGCCACCTCCTTTGACATGGAGCTTTGTGCAGAGAAACTGAAGTCCCTTGGGGTTCAGGTAAGCTCCGCATGCGTAATCTCCCCTGGGAACCCTGTAGGAGTGAATGCTAGCTGGATTAGCGTCATTTGCACCCGCAACACAGCTTTGGTTTGAGTGACTCGTTTCAGTTCAACTTTAGTCTATTCCCCGTGGACTGCAAGTCAACTGTAATGATCTTGGCTTAAACCTCCGTGAAGAAACCCACAAAGGGTGCTTGAAAGTGAGTGAATTGCCTGAAAGTCACTCTGATGGGCTGGAGCGTCCCTGGAACAATCTGTCTTGTCTTGTCCTTTGTCATAAAAAGGTGGTTTTCCCTTGTGACTTTCCCTGCACTTTCCAGGCAGATATTACTCACTGCAAATGAGTCAAGAACACGAGTTTTTGGTCTGTGACAGCTGTATGGATGAGACTGGAGGTGCGCTCTGCGGGAGGGTGCTCTGGGACACAGCGTTGCGTCGCAGTGCTGGCCTGGCCCCACAGTGACTGCCCAAGCTAGTTCTGGTGGGGCTAGGAGCCCAAAACTGGAGGGTGGCCTCAGTTTGCTGTTTGCTCCCTGAGCAGGTGGCAGCGGATCGGTGGAGAAGGTTAATCCAGGATGCTGTCCTCAAGCCTGAAGTGAGACGGTACATGTTCTACAACTCCAGGGCATTCCAGATGGCTATCGCTGTGGTAAGGATGCATCAAGACCTCCACCTGGGGTTCTTGTGCCCACGGAGGAAGAGAGGTTTGGGTGGGGAAGAGACACTGACTTTCACATATCCTAGTGGGCTTAAGGCGCCTTTGGAAACCCCAGTCCACACAGTGGAGGGCAAGGCACCTTCTCCAGCCCCTTGCTGGTAGCCCCCCTGAAGCGGGCTGTCCATTGCCGTATAACCAGCGTATGCTGAGGTAGTAGTACTTACAGCAGGCTTTTTTTTTCACTTGATTTTAAAAATCTGTAGATATTCTGGTCCTGATGCTAATCCAGACCAACGAACCAGTCAACTTTGGTTACTGAGTTGCTTGTCTACTCTTGCCTGGCTGCTTCTGGTGAGAGAAGCTCCTCCAGAGACCCCAGCCATTAGCAGCTACTGTAAGGCTGATACTTTGCACCGTGCTGAGGGTGTGATAAAATCTGACTCCTCCTTTGCATTTATTTTTTTGGAGAGCCGTTGCACGTGTCTGCTCCTCCTTTCACTAATATTGTAGGAATTGGTGCTCGGTGTTTTGAAGGCTTAGGTGCCCGTTTAGTGCAAACGGGTTATGTTATTGCAAGATGATGCCATGACACGCTGTGCTGTACACTTCCTATTTGCTTCTAGGCAGTCCCCTGCCCAAATGCATGCTGTCTTTGTACAGGCCAAATGAGTTGAGCTGTGCCTGTCTTTGTGCAAAGGCCACGTTTGTCAGTCCCGAGCGTAGCCCTTGAGCCCAGCGTCAGTGTCCACCGTTTGAGCGTTATCGTAATTGAGTGGTCTCCGCGCCACCGCGAGTACTTTGACATAGGAGCTCTCTAAATACAGGGACTATTAGAAGTATTATCAGTACGCCTCAGTGAGTGCATTTCTTATCTAAATGGAAGAACTCGGTTGAAAACCTTCCTAGGTATGAATCATCATTAATAACTGACTCTGTCTTTGATGACTGGTAATTTTTTATAATAAACTAGGGCTTACTCAGTCCTTCTAGTCCTTTCTCCTGTTTATTATTGGAAAGAACTTCTATCCTTTCTCACCCTCGGAAAATCTCACGGGACTTAATTTATGGTAAGGTATTACCCTGGGAGAAGGGACCAGTAGTTTTCTTCTTCCCTTGACTTTTCTCACTTTCATAGTTTTGTGAGTATCGTCGGCCTCTCTGGGTTTTTACAGGTTTTCTACATGGCTCTCTGGACAAACATTTACTCCACAGTCCAGCTGTGTTCCTTCGGACGCTACTGGGAGGCCAGCGTGCTGGTGACCCTGGCTGCCGTGGCAGTCACTGTAGTCGTGATACTGGTTATCGACCGTCGCCAGCGGAAGGTAAGAGGAGGCCACGCGGAGCGCGGGCACGCGGAGCGCAGGGAGCAGGTAGAGTGCTGGGACCCAGGTCGTAGCAGAACATCGTAATTACCCAGGGAGGAAGGAATATTTTTACAGCAGGCTTGGAGATCAGGTTCGGGCAAGGGACGTCACACAGCCTGGTGAGGTGTCGTAATGCCTAAAATGTGGGTGTTGGAGCCCGGCAGGCTGGCTCAAAGTGCTTGCTGTCGCCGGAGATAAAGCAACCGTTGCAGAGCGTGGTTCATGCTCCCGTGGCTGGTGGGAAGCCACGGGGGCTCGGCGGCAGAGCCGGCTCCTGCCCTGCTTCTGATGACGGTCCTTGCGGTCTCGGCTGTGTGCAGCCACCAACAGCACCATTTACTTGTGTCACACCTTGCAACCAGTCCAGAGAAAAAGGCAGCTCCTAACCTATAGGAGTTGCAATAAAATTGTAAAACTGAGGCAGACTGGGCAGTAGAAGGAAACGGGGAGGTGATGTTGGCATGAGAGGCAACCAGCCTGCAGCGTCCACTGCTTGGTGGTTGTCAGCTTTTGTTTGTAGGAATCGCAGGACTACGGAAATTTTTAAGGAGTGATCTGAAGAATGACATTGGAAAGGCTTGATTCAAAATCCAGAGGGGTCTTTGCACTGATTTTAATGGATTTTGGAGCAAACCCCTAACGACAGCTGTGCAGTGATTCTTCCAAGGGGAAACCTGGAGAATGTGTAGGTGCGCAGGAGGAGTCCTTCACTCGGGGACTGCTGGGGGCTGGAAGAGAGACCATGACACTGGAAATTGATTCCACTTCAGACATCTTGTCTCTAAAAGAAATAATTCTTAGTGAGATTTCTGGCTGCACAGGCATCCACTAGCCACTGGCCAGGCCGATACTGATGGCTGGTGACAATCCCGCCCTGACTGCAGACTGCTCGTGTCACCGTTTTCCTTTCAGAGATGTGGTATTTGGGATTGCCCAGCTGCAGTTTGTAGCTGTAGGCTGGCCCAACTTTTGGTGTAGAATGTGTTAATTTTTTCTGTATTCTTTAATAGATAAATATGAATACAGACGTGAGGCTGGCAGCTGTCAATGAAATCTTTATCAAACACAGTTTAATTCTGGGGATTACAGATGTCCTGGATGGGCCACACAACATCCTACAAGTATCCTTTCTGTGGGGAATCATTCGTATCCCTCCTGGGTAGCTAACGATGTGGAGGTATTTATTGATGTTATGATCCATGGGGATTTTCAAAGGGTGGGATTTCTAGGATTTGTTTTTTCTCCTGGTGGATGGCATGTGGGATTGGGTATTTTTTCTCCTCCTATAAGTGGGGATTGAGAGATGTCCAAAGGCAATTGGAAATAATGAGTCTAAGATCCTGAATTGGGATAAGTCCTTTGGGCAGACAATTACTCATGAAAGTTTATTACACTTACGTGACAGTGACGATTCTTATTATGAGGAGAGTGACAGCAATGTGCCTATGGCAAAAAAACCCCAACAAACCCACCCAAAACAACGTGGCGAAAACCAGAGTTCCTGTCCCTGGGAGGTCATGTTCTGCCTTGCAGAGACCAACTAAGTCAACAGCATCCAAGTGCCTCTGCTCTCCAGGCGATTTGTAGCCCTGGGATCCCTCCTTCAGGCACATGGGAGAACTTGAATTCACAGGGTGCGTGCCTGGCAGCCAGCTCTGTAGCTGCCAAGCACTTCTGACCTTCATGGCCTTTTAAAAATGCAGGTTGAAGAAACCAGGTAGGGGAAGGCTCATTTGCCGCTTGTCAGAGATACCTTTTCTGGACGGGAGAAAGATTTTTGGGGAAAGAAGAGAGTTTTAAGAGAGCATGAAAGCATTAAAGGAAGGTGAAATAGATGGTCTCCCAGATTTTTTGGTGGACCTCACCCCCCATATAGAGAGAGAGGCACGAAATACAAACAGAGGGGGAACCAAGGCTGAAACACGGGGTCAGAGAAGGGTGCAGGGAATACCTGGGGCTGGCAGGGGTGAAGTCATGCAGAATGAGGAGGAAACACTTAAGAACCTGAATTACCCGTTCAGTCAGACCAGCATAGTTTTGCACCTCAGTAAGTGAAGACTAATCCAAGGAGCCTTCGCCTCTACCTACGTGTCCCAGAACTGCCTGAAAGCAGGAAACAATGCCAGGATTTATGCTTTCTCTCTCTGCTCCAATGCCAGATGTGTTTTAACCCTCTAGCTTTTATGCTATTCCTGAATCCCCTTGACGATGGCAGCTTGAGTAGATACACAAGGGCAGAACTTTGACTGTCTTCTGGGGAGCTGCTGCTCTCAAAGATGGCAGGATTCACATCCCCAACATGCTGCTCTTGGTAGACTCTTCGCAAACAGTGCCTCCATCCTGCCGACAAGCACCAAGTACAGTAAATTTTATAAAAAAATAAATGGCATTAATCCCTAGAAACAAAGGAAAGCCAGCAGGAAGTAGTTTAGGGGAGCTAAGTCGAGGTGACCCACCAGCTGATTTAGATACAAGGCCACTGAGCTGAACGATGGGCAACAGCCCTGAGTTATCACAGAGGGTGACAACTTGTCACGCCCCCCAGGGCGTGGGAGGTGTGCAAGGAGGACTGGCTGCCCTTTGGGGCAATGTCCCCCATCCCCGTCACCCCTCTTCTCTTCCCCGCTAGCTTGAGGTTTTGCCTTAGCCCAGACCCTCTTGGCTTAAAATCAGCCTTGCGATGTGTTATTCCTGACTGTGCCCTGAGCATCCCGCAGGCACCAGCTGCCTTTGCTCCGCTCCCTGCGAGCTCCGTACCACGATCCGCGTGGAGATGGAGGGCTGCAGAGCGGGGAGCGTGGGAAGATCCCTTCCTTAACCCTGCCCATCCCAGCTGTGGTTCGTGCACTTCAGGCCGGAGCGCTGCCTCCAGTCCTTGTCAGCCCACCTCAAGGACCTGCAGAGGACACGAGAGGTAAGGGACGGTGGGCGCAGCCCGAGCTCCCGCAGGGACACGTGCAGGTCCGCCCTACGCCCTGGCTTTGGCTGATGGAGGTGGGCAAGGGCAACTAAGAGCTTGAATGTCCTCCTGGGCGTCCCCTGCTGTGAACGGGGAGCTGGGCAGACTGGGAGGTGGGTAAACTGCATCCTTCGGTGCCCAGTTCATCAGGAATTCGTTTAGGCCTCGTGGTACATGCATGTCTGGATGATTAACCGTACAACTTTGGTAAAGGAAAGTCATCAAGAGTCAAGGGCAAATTTGAAAGCGTGTGTCACAACTTGAAATAGCTGACACCTTGAGCTCTTCTCCTGAAATAAATGGGATAGCCTGAGGAATAAGTAAACACTGTATGGGGTTAACTGTATAAAAACTTTGTCCTGTTGGCCTTCAGAAAATGTTTTCCCCTCTGCGAGTGTATAATATACAAACACGGTGCGCTCCTGCACTGCGTTGCCCTTGCGGACCGTGCCGGCGGGGTGAGAGGTGAGGGGGTGCCACCCTCCAAAACTCTCAAGGCTGCTCATGTCCCTGGATGAACCAACAGATGCAGATCAGGGGATGGACGGTAACACGCCAATTCACATACTGGCTGATATGTCATACAGGTTTTAAAGACAAAATTCTCCGTGCTAAGCTGTGGCCGTCTTGCTGGGAGCAGTGGCCGGCACAAGAGGCCGTTGATGGCGGCGGGGTGGTGGGGCGAAGACACTCGGCTCCAGGTGCTGGGCACAGCTCCAGGAGTAAAAAACCTTCAGGAGGAAATCATGTCCTTTAAAAGCTGTCCTCAGAACAGCACTGCTGCCTGCCTTTGGACACCCCCAACATCTCTCTCTCTTCCAGTCGGGCTTGCGGCACAGCCTGGACCAGCTCTGTGTGGTTATGGAGGCAGTGGTTCAGCCTGAGCCGGGGACGCAGGAGGAGGCTTCGCGTGAAGAGTCCCCTCTTTTAGCCAGTGGGGTGAACCTAAATAAAGAGCCTGTGACGTGCAACGAGCTGCTCCACCTCGTTCCCGAGGGCCCACCAGAGGTAATGAGAAATATCCCCCCCCGACGGACAGAGGTGCCAAATTGCCTCCCCAGGCAACCTCAACTCCAAAACTCGTCTCAGCAGCCACCAGCCATGGGGTCACCTCCCTTTTCACCAGTAGAAGCACCTGGAAACCTGAAGGTCCACACACACCTTCTCCAGCCCTGACACTGCTGAGCAGTTAATGCTTACTGAGCAGCTAGTGCGTAATCCTTGAGGAATTAATGGATTAGGCTTTTCCTTGCTGGTGGCCGGGGGTCCCCATTTGGAAGCCAACCTCTTCCCAGGGTCCATGCAGGGACCCAGCGCCTGTGTCTGGGCTGGGGATGAGGCATGTCCGTGCCCAGCCTTTGTCTCCTCCACGGAGCGTGCCTTCAAAGACTTGTGCCATGCTGAGCAACAAATGTGTCCTCATTCCCGCTCAGCAAGAAGCTTCGAAAGGGATGATTTGGATTTCTTTTACAGTTCCGCTCGCTGTTACTAAGCGAGTTCGGTGCAGGTGACGTCCCTGCAGATTGAAGCTCTCTGGCTGTCCACCAGCAAAAAAAAAAGCAGC